ATTTTCCTTTATTTTTTAAATTATGTAGCAAATTATCATAGTTAATTTATATTTCTTGTTACAGCTGTTAATTTTATGCTCCTTCTTAATATTGCAGGATAAAATAAAAATATTCCATTTAAATAATAAAATTGACTAAATTACTCTTACCTACGTAAAGTAAATTTAGAAAAAGTAATCTTAATACTGCTAATCAACATCAAATAGTTTTATTTTTCCTATTGTCTTTCATACTTAATCTTCCAAATAGTTCATTATCAAGTATTCTAAGAGTAAGTATGTCATTTTGGAAAAATAGTCATGTTAGCATTATACTCTAATTGTGTTCTACTAAAAATAGCGTCAGATATAACACTGAAAACATGATTATAATTTAGAGAAAACAGCAATTAATATGATAAGGAGGGTAATTTTAATTTACCCATGCCTTAAAGGATATACATGGAAAAAACCATGTTAGATTTTACTAGCGGTTACGTATTTTACTGAAGAGAACAGCGCGGGTTTTTCCTCTGGTGGAAAAAATTTTCTAGAAGTTTTATTATTATATTGGGAAATAGTTAATTATTTTTGTGCTGGCTAATTGGTCCAATTACTCAGTCCAACATTTGATTGAAAGTCTTCAAGTGTTTCTTATTTGACCAGGAATCAATGGTTGTAATTGAATGGGAATCGTGAGAGGGATGATTGGCAAGCCTCAGTCATATCCATTAGAAAACGTAAGCAAATACTGTACGGTCAAATTAAAGTTGTTGTCCCAAAAGATGTACGAGAATGATTTTTGCAAAAATCATGTCAAACACAGGTCCCCTTGCAAAATATTCTTTCTCCGTGACTTTAGATTTGCATTTTTGGAAATCCAAGTTTTTCGAAGTTTTACTTTTTGGTTTGGTTGTTAGGATAGCCAAGTAGAAAGTTAATTTTTGGAAAGAAAAGCTATAAATTCTTGCTTGTTTCTCAAAACTTTTTATCAGTTTCTTGGTACATCTTTCGAATATTTTTAAAGCTTTATAATGCTTTTTAACATGTGAGAGTACACTTTCTTCTCCAAATCCTTCATTTTTGAAAAAAAAGGATTTCCAACACACGCTCTCGATAAGAAGCTCTCAATCCTTCTTTCGTTTCTTTTCTTTTTTCTTTTTCAACAACAAAGTCCCTAAGTTTTATTGTTGGATTCAATCTAATTAAATCTACTTGTGGGCACATATGTTATACCAGTATGTGTTGCTATCTTTACAGTTGATCCACATAAAGTGATCAATCAGGTAATTAGGTCAATGGGTATTTATATATGTTGAGTTAAATGTGCAGATACCAGGTTGTAATTATAATTTGATGAGGGGCCGAATTAAAAATGTACAATACCTATATATATGAGGTTATGGTCCATAATCTAGGGTTACACACTCTCTATTCTCTTATCCCCATCTAAAGAGACACCAAAATGAGAAACCCTAATATTAGAAGATCATCAAAAACCTAATTCAGATCCAAGCAGTGGATTCAGGTATAGCTTCCGCTCTTGTTCTAGTTGTTTAATCTCTATGAATTAATCACGATTAAGTTCAACATTTATTCCCACTTTTCTAAGAAGCTCATACGTTTTTTTACGACAAAGCCCCTAACTTTTATTTCTCTCTTACAAAAAAAATCCTCAACTCTCTGGTTTTGACATGGAACCCCTTAAGTTAACAAGCAGGATCGGAGACTTCTTAGCATCCTTTTGTTGCTAATAAAAGAATTGTCAGGGGGTTCTCACAAGAGTACGGTAAAACTTAGAGGCCTCATCGTTAAAAGTGAAATCGAGACTAATTTGAAGAGAAGGTTAAACTTAGGGACCTATAGACAATCTTCTAGAGAGTTATGTCTCTCTTCCTTCTTCTTTCGTGTTTAGTTTTCTTTAGCAAACTATCCCTTCTACAATAAATTAATATCACACATTATCTAATGATCACTTTTGTCTTAAAATGCAATTTTTTTTTTTTATGATCCCTGAGTCCACTAACTAGTTCATGTTCTTCACGTTGTCATCGATGGCTTAAAATGATAACTCTTTCAGGGAATTTGAAGCCCATTGCTTGACTAAAGGAAGCAGGCTCTCTTCAAATCCTTTTTTAGGCATCTCAAATCTAAATTAAACATCTCAAGTCTAAAATAAACTTAATTATTACTCTCAGTATTCATTCTAACTTTAGAGACCCGTGAAATGGAAAATTTTTTAAGATAGTATCAGAACGATCCAGATCTAGATCGAGCCAGACGATCGTTTAAAAAGGATTGAGGGTAAAGATGTCGATGTTAGCGAAGTTTAGTCTACAAAAGAGACTCTAAAATATGCTAGGACTCGTTAAAGTATATAAAAATTGAAGTTTTATCCCAGTAATCCCAAGTGTAAGCTAGTCAAACTGAAGCGCTCATTCATCATTCGCTGACATCTCTTTGAAAGACTTAGTGATGGAGACCCCTTGATCTCATTACTTGTTGCTGTTTAATTCATTTAATTAGTATCGAAAATTAAGGTGAAAACTATGTCTTTGTCAACTTCAGTGGGCAATATGCCAATATTATAGGATTCAGGTGACAGCCGGATACGAAATTATTGATGCATCCATAAATTTATTTATTTATACCGAAATTAAAATATTGCTATTGCTGAAGTCTGTATATATATATTTTTTTTTTGAGAATTCTTTCCACCCTATACTGCTATACATATAACAAAGAGGTAGTCGTGTATTATGAACTTGTAAAAGACCGAAATATTCTTCACAAATTAGTACTGTAGTTATTAAATTATAAAATTAAATGGGAGCTTGGGTTTGAGAGGGTCATCTCAAACTTGGATGACGCACAAGCGCGTGTTTTGTGGAAATTACCTCAAGAGCACAAAAGTTGATGTGAAAGAAAGTTACTTTATCAGGGACATTTTAGTCATTTAGATACACACGAATTCCACCCTGTAAAGTCGGATCTAATAGCTTTAATAAAGTGAGTCGCGTTACAAATTCTAAGAAAGATTAAAGGGGCTGTTTGGATAGGTTTTTTTTTTTTGGAAAAAAAAGAGAAAGCTGTCAAAACTGTCAGCTTTTTGACAGCTTTCCCCCAAAATCGCCTTTTTAAGGGGTGATTTTGGGGGAAAGCTGCCAAAAAACTAACATTTTTGACAGCTTTCCTCATTTTTACCACCCAAAAAAAGGAACCAAACAGCCCCTAAGTGACTCTTCTGAAGTCCGAAGCTGACTCACAAAAGTTAAGAATAGTTTAATACCATTTCTTAAGTTTAGAAGGGTGTATCTCGAAAACACATTTGTTAAAGTTCGGATCCAGTAAGGATGCAAATGAGATATCTTAAATGTGCAATTTTTTTAAGCTTAATTTTAGTTTCTCAGTGAAAATTTGAATAGGAGATAGTAGATTAGATCAAAAAACCCAATTTAAATATGGTTTACATGAGAATTAAAAATAAAAATCAATTTCTGCATGACGTTACTATTTTCATTAAGG